CGAAAAAACAAAAGAAAAGAAAAGCACACACCATACCTGCATCTTGGCCTCTAAAGGTACTTCAACAACTTCAAACTCTGCACCTTTGTAGCTAAGTGTACGACACACATACATACCCCTAAGACGTCAAGAGGTTAGATACTATTTACATAGACTGACTTGATAACTTAGACACAGATAGCCCACAAGAAACCTTGCTTTCATGTCCATGGCAACAAGTTCAAGTGCCCCGACTCCACCTTTCTCCATTGCACCTGTGATATCCAAAGAGAAAAAGAGGTGAAAACAGAATCAGCTTTAAAAGTTTAGACATCTACATTTTAAACCACCACACATACAAATAGGGCTTAAGAACAAAATCATAAAAGGCAGTCTCAATTCAATATTATTTCACCTAATTACAATTTAAAAGTCAAAAATATCTGTTTTGACCACTAACTACGTATCTTCTTGGACACTTTACTTTCTAACATTTGAGTTTGGTTGTGCTTTTTGTATATTTGATCATAAAAGTTTTAGTTAAAGGAATTAACTGAATGGATGTGTGAATCAATATAAAGTTTGTCAATTTAATAGATGTTAACCACAGAAGTCACTCTTATGTTGTGATAGTTCTACTTTCTTTTTTGGTTTCTTCTCGACCATGTTTACATTTATGTAGTATATTTTGCATCTTCAGTAACAGGAGTTGGACCCTTCCATACCTACTTAGTCGAAGTTAGAATTTTATCTGTTGATTGATACAGGTGAGAAATGAGAAACCACCCAACAAAATTACAAAGTCTATACACCGACTCACTAGTTAAAGGTGGTCATTAACATTTCAAGAAGATAACTGTTGCTATTCAAAATTTATATACAATGCAGGCTAAGCTGGAGAGACTATCCAATTTTCTGCCACATACGGATCTTTCAATTTACACCAAAAAGATAATTGTTGTAAACATGACACAACCACATATAGATCTTCCAAATTACACCAAAAAGCCAATTGTTGTATCTTAGACTAAGTAACTACAAAACATCAAAGCCTTCTATATTGAAAGTAGTCTAGGGATAGAAATTAAGTGTTTCCAACTTTCTAACTAAACTAGGTTTCATTCCTTCCCCGCAATGAACCTCTTGGATAATCAACCTCGTAATTTCTGCAGCTGTCCTAATCTTCTGTTTGAAGATTCTCCAATCCCTCTCTTGCCGTATGTGGTAAACACAACCTTCTAGAGTCATTCTATAGATCACAACACTTAATACTCTTTCCCTTAGCATGCCTTATTGCCCATGCAAGCTCCTGTTGCCATTGCATTGCTGCTCGATCAATTCCTTGCCATTGTAACATCTTCCTCCATATGATAGTAGAGAATACACACTCAAAGAGCAGGTGCTCAATGTCCTCATTGGCAACATAACATAAGGGACAGACCAACTCTTTTACAATCCCCCACTGTGCTAGTTGGTCTTTATATGTAACCTTTATAAAGTTCCACGTTAGGGCTCCTTATTGCAGACCAGTTTTCTCCACTCAACTTTTGGGAATTCACCTCTGAGAGTCACATTCAGTTTTTTAACATAGAAATTACTTCTGTTGCATATCACATTCCCTGGAGCCAGTTAATTACAAGATTCTTTTTTGCCTTCAAGCTCTTTTGTACCACCCATGAGGCCTGTTTTGCTTGTGCTTCTGATACCTGGCTACCTTTCACATAGAAGATGTGCACCCACCTAACCCATAATTTGTCCTTCTTACTCAGACTCAAAAATAGCTTACAAATTGCAGCGTTGTTCCAAGTCTGTATATCCATAAATTTAAGTCCACCAGTAGTTTTTGGGCAGCATAGCTTATCCCAAGCTATTAATGCTTTCTTGGACACTTAATATCCCAGTCCACAAAAATCTTCAACTTGTTTCAATCAACTGGACCACTTTCTTTGGTAATATAAACACCTGGGACCAGAATACTTGAACCGAGAGTAGAACAGTTTTAATCAATTGGACCCTTCTCGCATGAGATAGGTATTTAGCAGTCTAGGATTTGATTTTACCCAAGATTTTGTCAATCAAAGGCTGGTACTGAAGTACAGAAATCCTCTTTGTTCTAACAGGAACCACCAAGTATCTAATAAGCAACTCACCCTTAGTGAACCCCAAAGCTTGTATGAGAGCAATTTGATCATCTGGATTAACCCCTTCCCAAGGGTAAATAGAGTTTTTATCATCATTTGCAATTAGGCCAGAAGACTGAGAGAAGGTCTTGAAACATTTTAAGAGCATTTAAATTGACATGAGATCACCCCTGTAGAACAACAATAGATCATCTGCAAATCCAAACTGAATAAGCTGCAGCTTTGCACATTTAGAATGGAAGTTGAGATAAGGCTGCAGTCTTAAGGATTTCAATGGTCTGGTCAATTACTCCATAGCCAACACAAAAAGAAAATTGCATCAGAGGTCCCCCTGTCTTATAGCTTCCTTTGCTTGGAAAGGAGGAACATGTGCACCATTAATTAGGATTGAATATGACACAGAGGTCACTGAAGTCATAATCTAGTGGACAAAGGTTTCAGGGAAATTAAGACACACAAGAACCTGCTCTAAATAGCTTCACTCAATAGAATCATAGGCTTTCCTCAAATCTATATTTAACATACAACTAGGAGATACACTTTCTCCCGTACCCTTTAACCAACTTATAACTAAGAATGATATTGTCAGTGATAACCCTCCTATGTACAAAGAAAGACTAACTAATATCAAACAAAATATCCATCACAGGATGTAGTGTTATCAAAGGCTCATTTAAGGCGTGCTTAAGCCCTGAAGCTCAGAAAAGTTCAGGGAGGGTGCTTCGCCTCGCTTAAGTTGCACTTCAGCCTAAGGCAAGGCACTAACACATGCACCACATTGCGCATTGCTTTTGTCGTAAATCAAGCATCAGACAGTAATTGTATTAGCTGTAAAGGAAAACGTTATGAATGAATTTGTTACTTTATTATTGAATTATATATATATATATATATATATATATATATATATGTATGTATGTATATGTATATGTATATGTATGTATATATATTTCTTCTTCATTGCCCTTTTTTTTACTAAAGCCCACGCTTTAAGTGGGCTTTGAGCTTAAAGCCCCAGCAGACCTAGAGTGCTTTTTAGAGCTTTTCGACTTTGACAACACTGATAGGCTGCATTCTTTTTATGAGGATTTTAGAAATAAGTTTATATAATATAGTACAACATGATATAGGTTTTAAGTCGTACATTCTGGAGGGTTTGGTACCTTGGGAATACGTGTAACAGTGGTGCAATTAATGGGCTTGTATAGGATACCTGTTGAGAAGAAATGAGTAACAATTTCAGTAGTTTCATCACCAATTACAGCCCAAGCCTTCTTGAAGAAATGTGCATTAAACCCATCACAACCAAGTGCCTTTAAATCATCAATACCCTTTAGAGCTTGATATGCTTCTTTCTTTGTAACAGGGGTAATTAGCAGCAACTCATTGTTCCCATTCTGATTCAGCATGTTCGTCATACTAGCAAAAGAATATGAGTCACTTTCCTTAATCCTTACCACTTTTCTAGCTTCCCATTAATTTCTTTTTCCGTCTCAAATAGGTCTCTGCTTTCTTTTTTGGATGTGCTATAGTTCTCTGCTTTCTTATTTGGTTTCTTGTCGAGTATGTTTATATTTTGTAGTATATTAAGCATCTTCAGCAAAGGGACTTGGTCCCTTCCATATCTACTTAGTTGAAGTGAGAATTTTATCTGTTGAAAAATCACCTAACAAAAGTGCAATGTCTATATACAGGCACACTGGTTAAAGGTGGTCGTTAACATTTCAAGAAGATGGTAAGTGCTGGCTATGCAAAAATTATGTACAATTTAGGCTAAGCCTGGAGTGATTATCCAATTTTTGCCACATACTGATCTTTCAATTTACACAAAAAAACTAATTGTTGTAAGCATGACACAATCACATATAGATCTTCCAATTTACACCACATATAGATCTTCCAATTTACACCAACACCTTATGAGAGCACTCAAGCTTTGCATGTTGTAAAGTCATTGATGCAAGGTGGATTCAAGTTGAAGTAGAAATCAATTGAAATTGAGAATTTAATGGAACTAGCAGCGCTACAGCAGCTGAAAATTATATGACATGCTGGAACAAGAAACAACAATCATTATAGGTATTAATTGATGATAGATGTTTTGAAGGAACAACTATACGTGTAAGCAAGTTTGGGGCCATCTGTCCAAATCTTTGCTGGATTTTTTTATGCTCTGTAAATATTACAATTGGTAAATAAATTCTTTCATTTACCCAAAAAAAATACTAGAGCACCAAGAAAGGTACTTTGGTGAGTGTTAGAGAAGAACGAAATTCATGTTAACTATATAAATCCCATAAAGGATATGTACGAAGGAGTTGTCATTAGTATAATAACAGTAGCATGATACAAAGGAATTTCTCATAATCGGGGGGTTACACTAGTGATCAAGATTGAACCACTACTTGTTTATCCTAGTTATGAATGAGCTAAGTAACGCAATATAGGATGAGGCTAAGTTGCTCGGACTCAGGTGCGGGTGTCAGATACGGGTGCGGATCTAGAGGTCAGATCCTTCATGATCTAAATTTACAGATTCGGTGGTACGGATACGGGTGCAGGGATTCGGCTAAAAATAATTCAATTATTTAAAAATAGAGTTATAAAAATATGTCTAAATTATGAGACATTATGTGGAAAACTTAAAAGGTATTCCGAGAAGGAGAAAATATTGAACAAGAGTAGAATTTTAGAAGGAGATAAAAGGAAAAGGACTGACATGAAATTTATATATACAAGGTATTCCATTTTCTTCCATATCACCCTAACTTTTGATTTGTTTTCAAAAATCATTGTATCTGTCCCAAATTTCTCCGTTGATTTTGGTCAAAGTACCCAAAATCGGTTGACCAGATCCGACACGGATCCCACACCCATACCCACACCCACNGTTTTCAAAAATCATTGTATCTGTCCCAAATTTCTCCGTTGATTTTGGTCAAAGTACCCAAAATCGGTTGACCAGATCCGACACGGATCCCACACCCACGTCGTGTCGACACGGGGGCAGCACTGAAAGTGAAGAGTCCGAGCAACTTAGGGATGAGGCCGCATGATGTATGCAATTTGCATACGATATTGTGCTAATTAACGAAACTAACAAAGATTAAACCAAAAGTTTGAACTATGAAGAAGCACTCTAGAGAGTAACGGACTTAGGATAAAGGGTTGTAAGACCGAATATATGCACTAGAAGTTTAGTTAGTGTAAAGAATTAGGAGATTATTTAATACGGAAATAGCCCACTCCTTGTACAAATTGTAAACACTATTAAGACTCTAGCATGCGTGAGGGAACAATCAAGAAATTTATTCACCCAAATTTCTTCTTTCTCTTTTCTTTACATGGTATTAGAGCCAATATCAAATGAGTTGTTAATGATTTTATGTTGAATCCAATACATACTTTCTTCCTGCATCATTTATGATATAGCTCTTTTTACAAACATGCTTTTTCTTCTAGACATAACTCTTACGGCCTTATGACTTCTTACCTTCGATTTGATCATATTGAGTCTTAGGGTTGTTCTTTCTGTTGCCCATCTTTGGCATCTCCGACTCTTTGCCCTTGCCTTTGCGTAGATTGTTTCGGAAGTCCACTAAGGATTCAGCCTCCATTATAGCTTGATCAACGCCAGCCACTTTCCAACACTATAACTTCACATGCGCCCAGTTTTGCAACCATCCATGAAGTGGAACAAGTCATCGCCACTTAGGTTGGGAATTTGAAGCATAAGGGCGGTAAACTCCTTGATATAATCGTGAATTCTCCCTGTCTGATTCAGCTCTCCAAACTTGGGCCTTGCTTGTTGGGGAAGGTGCCAGTGCCTTTCTTGGCAACGAGATCTTGGTTAACATTGGCTTGAGTGTTACCAGTGTTGATTTCTTTCTCCTGTGTCATTCTCATAGAACGACCTTTGCTCTGATACCAAATTGTCACTTCCTTAATTCTAAACAAAGCGTACTTGTGGCACTTAACAAGTAGTTCACACTTGCAAGGTTAAGCCAGCCTTAAGATAGGTTGGTTGTGCAAAGGGGAAGCTGCATAGGCACAAGTGGCATGATGATGTGGCGGGTCATCAAAATGTGCTCCTTTTTTTAATCCTCATGTTCCATGTTTGTACTTTTGGGAAACTACAAAGCGCGTCTTTATGTCCCAGTTAAACAGACTTGTGTTTTCATGATATTCAGGCTTTAGCTACTTTAGCGGAGTCCACATAATTCAGATTTTAGCTATTTCTATGGAACATCAAATTATGCATATTTATATTTATGTTCTTTTTCTCCTCATGCATTCAGATGGAGGAAAAGCAAAGCTAAAAATTCTCCCCATGTATGCCTTGTCCAAAACCAGAATGGCGAGAAGCCAATACCTCCATTATTTTAGTTGAAAAATGGTTAAAATAAATGATACTAAAATATGGACACAAGCCTGGTGAAACACTAGATTAATAGCTCTCTCAACAAGTAATGAAGACGATACTCCTTTATCTCCTCCACAAAGAATTGCTGAAATTACAACAACATTTAGTAGGCGTTTGGCCATAGATTCCAAATATTTTTCACTTTATTTGGAATTTATGGTTGAAAATGGAGTTGTGTTTGGTTATACTTTTTGCAAAGGAGAGAAGAGAACACTTTATTTGAAATTTATGAAGATGGAGTTGGAAAACAGATTTGGAGCACTTTTCTAAATTTGGAATCTAACTTCAAGTTCTCAAGGTAGGGGTAAGGTCTGCGTACACACTACCCTCCCTAAACCCCACTAGTGGGATTACACTGAGTTTGTTGTTGTTGGAATCCAACTCCAAGTTGAATCTGGAAATTTTATAACCAAACACTGATTTTGAAATGAAGTGAAAAATTATTCCGGAAAAAAATGAATAATTCTCCTGGCCAAACGGCTCCTTAGTTTCAACTATGATATTCCCACTAGGAACATATCCAGCCAAGTGTAAACTTAGAGTAATTGTGGATGCAAATAAAGCAATCAATACTCTACCACAGCATAACACAACCACTGATATATCATCTTCAAGTTCCTACCTTTTTCTCTTGCATCTAGGGCCGCTATATGAATTAGTATATAAGCATTTAATACATTAGGATAAAACTTACTTTTAAAAGTCATTGAAAGTGAGATGACTCAGGTAGTTATAACCTCATGATCAATAAAATTTCACTAGGAACACAAGCACTTCCTTAGTGCTGGTTTAACTTTTCATGCTATATTATCTTTTGTTTACTGATCAACATTCAAAATAAAACAAGAACTATGCTAAGAAACTGTTAGTTTTAGCAATCAGAAGCCTGACCTAAAAAGTCACGGAAATTGAGAAAAGCAGTTCCAACTCCCCAAAGACCAAGGCGAACCATGTAGGCCATATTGCGAGGCTCAGAAGCACCAGTCGCTGAACAATAAACAACACGAGCTTGAGGAAGACGAGCCTGTAATACAAAATGCAATTAGCTTGTGAATGTCACTTACCAAGAAAACAAGACAAGCAAAACCAATTTTCTTGGTAGTAATAGTTGTTCATGTGCTACAGATATCAAGAGCAATAAGTATAACGACCCAAAATTGTCTGAGTCAAATAAACCCAACATAGCAACAAGTCTACTCAAAGATTATGCAAGCATATTAGAAATGACAAGCTTTTTTCTCCACTACCGTATTTTTTTTTTTACGAATGTGTTGTTTAAGTGTTCATCACTGTATAAAAGCACTCACCTTCAATATGCGGATGATACTCTAATTATGTGTGGTGCAGAGGAAAGTCAAGTAAAATATATTAGGATCATCCTTATCCTCTTTGAAGCTATTTATGGACTTCATATTAATTGGAGGAAAAGTCAGATTTATCCTGTTAATGAGGTGCCTAACATACAGATCCTGACAAACAAACATTCTGGGAGGGAAAGTTGGTTCTTTTCCTACTATCTATTTGGGGATGCCTTTGGGAGCAAAAAGCAAATCCAAAGAAATATGGAATGGAGTTCTGGAAAGATGTGAGAAAAAGTTATCCAAATGGAAAGCACAATACATTTCTTTGGGAGGTAGACTAGTTCTTATTAACTCTGTGTTAGGCGCTCTTCCAACCTACATGATGTCCCTATTCCCATTACCTGCAAGTGTAGAAAGAAGAATGGAAGTCATGAGAAGAAATTTCCTATGGCATAGAAATAAAGAGAAGAAAGGATTTCACTTGGTTAAATGGAAAAAGTTGACCATTAGTAAACAAGAAGGGGGTTTGGGAATCAGAAATCTGAGAAGGCAAAACAAATGTCTATTAATGAAGTGGTTGTGGAGGTTTACAAGGGAAAGCAAACACTATGGGGAAGGGTGATAAAAGCGAAGTATGAAAAAGAAGGCTTCTGGATGACTAGGGAGGTAAAGAATCCTTATGGAACCAGTTTATGGAGATCAATTAGGAACTTGTGACCAAGTCTTTCATCCAAACTGAATTTTAATGCGAGGGATGGAAGAAAAATATTATTCTGGGAGGATAACTGGCTGGGAATAGGATGCTTGAAAGTTTTATTCCCTGACATTTTTACATTGAATCAGCAACAAAGAGCTACAGTGAAGGATGTATGGGGGATTCAGGGATGGAACTTAACATTCAGAAGACTACTTCAAGATTGAGAACTACCTAGAATTGCAGAATTCTATAACACCTTGGATCAAGGCAGAGTATTGCAAGAGGGGGAAGACACTCTTTCATAGAAGAAGCACAGCAGTGGAAGTTATACAGTAAGTTCAGCCTACAAAGATTTGAATCAAGTGTCTCAAAACAGTTTATGGCCTTCGAAACACATATGGAAAGTTAAAATACCATACAAAGTGGCATGTTTTACTTGGTTGGTGGCTAAAGAAGCAGTACTTACTCGGAAAAGAGGATTGCCAATTTGTTCTAGATGCTATTTATGTGGACAAGATGCAGAGAGCCATCTATTTCTACATTGTAGAGTGACCAGACAGTTGTGGGAATTGTTCATCAACCTAAGGGGTATTAGGTGGACAATGCCAGGAAGAACCTTTGAACTTCTGGAAAGTTGGAATACAGGGGGGAAATTACTCTAACAAAGACAGATGGAAAATTGTCCCAGCAGCTATTTGGTGGACAGTATGGAAGGAGAGGAATGCAACATGCTTTGAAGATACAAGCAGTCCTACACAGAAGATTAAGATGAATTGTATTCTTCTTTTTAGTTATTGGTGTAAATTAGAATATATTGATGACCATGATTCAATCATATAAGTCTTAGGCTCCTTGTGAGAAGAACAAAGATGTTACGCTTTTGGTTTTTGCCTAAGTTCTCCATGATGTACATCTTGGCTACCAGCACAATTTTTGTGCTGATGATTTAATTAGTATAATAGATATGTTACCTTTTCAAAACAAAACCAAAAAAAGGCACAAATGGAGAAAAAAATAAAAATATGTATGTGTAGTCCAAGCCTAATAATTATAAGCATGAACAATAAATATATGGATAAAAAATTGATTTTTTAACAATAAAGTGACAATCAATTGTTTAGGTTTGCCTCTTCAGGATTACGCTCATTGGCAAGGATAAGTATATTTTAGAGCCTTGATGACAACACGGAAGCGCCCGCTTAGCGAAGCGCTCAACATGTTTTGAGCCTCGTTTTAGGGCTTAAGCGCGCTTTAAGACCGGCTTTGACAACACTGGATAAGACTTTTCTTTTTCTCAAACACCAATAATTAAAGATTTCTCTTTATTTGTTAGATTACTTGTGGTGACAATAGGTCCACATGTTGTCAACCATGTGAAAAAGTACACATTTCTCATAGCTCTAGAGATCACATGGAATAGAGGGAAAGGTCCTTGCCTCCCTCAGTAACAATTTACCATAAAATGAACTACGAACACTCCTTCCCTCAAACCATCCCACATCTAATATCTCTAACCGTGAGAGTGAGGGATTTTCTAGTCGCAACATCTAAGTACATTGTTATGCTCTTCGACCTCCCATCGTGGAAGTTTTTTCAAAAATTTAGGTTCCATATGATCTCACCTCCGAATTCCTTGTAAAATTTAACCACATCCATGATAAAAAGTATCGATAATAGCTTGAAAAACTTTAAGAATACCTCTCCACAATGTCTGCTAGCTAAATCTATCCATCTTACCATTACGCATATTAAACAAGAAATCTCAACGAGGAGTCCCCTCACAAAATTATGATGCATCTTCATGTTCTAGCGTGGCTAAAGCAATTGAACACCTAATGACGTACTTATCGCATAAAGGAATACATTCAGCAACATCATCTTGCAATTGTAAAGAATATGGAGTTTGGGCTGGGGTTATTTAGTAAATAAGAAACAAATGTTTGCATGGGAATGGATGTAGTTCCTTCATTAGACTCATTTGCATAAGGTGGGGTGTTTTCTTATATGTAAATAATTTTAATTAGCACCAAAATGGGAACAAACTACACATATAAGGAGTATAGGATCATGTTAACGCTATAAATCTAAACCATTAATTTTACCCTATCATCCACACAAGTATTAATATGCAAGTTCTAAGAGTCCGATGATACAATGATTTAGAGTTGGGGTAATGAATTTTCCATTACCTTATAAAAAAAATGTAATGAATTTCCGTTACTCCGGGCTTTTTTGTCCTCTGCTTATGTAATGTCTATGTCGATGGTGAGGTCCTACAAGATAGAATTTATCTCCATCTTTTTGAGTTCATTAATCTTTTAACCGAAAAACAATTGATAGACGAAACCAGAGATATTACAAAGGAAAAAAGGAACCAATAGGTAGAATGCCATGTATTTCGGAGAAATATGCTGAATGTATACCACATAGATACTTTGCTCAATTTCTTCTAGATTTCTTCAACTCCTTCCATTTACAAATGGATTACGAGTTTTTCTGATTCAAATTTTCTGCAGTACCATCTTGCCTTTCCTATGTATCAAATCTTTACTTATCAAGATATTATCCAATTAGAAACACACCTTCATGGGCGCCCTGAAACCTAAATAAAACGATGTGGAAAAGTAGATCTCCCTCCCTAGTAAACTCTGGTAATACGACTTAATAGTGAACAAGTCGCCCTTTTTTGTTGATAGGTAAACAAGTTGTCCTTATTCTCTCACCATCTCCATACAATGGATGCAGTATTCAGTGAGTTTTGTCCATATAGCACCACTTGGCTAAAAAGTTCACCCATCTTCTAATGTTGGATGTTCCTCCTAAATCTCGAACAATTAACTTCCCCACATGTGACTTACAAATCTGTTGAATTGTCATCTCTTTCTGACACGAGACTCCGTATAAGTTGGGAAAAGCTCTCTTTGACTCACTCTATCCACACTCTCAGGGCCAGCAAAAAAACTAATCATGCTTTCGTCCCCAACCCCGAAAAAAATGAGACCACTAAATTCTCTCCACCCCTTCATATGCTCCTCCACAAACCGCACCCAAACGGAATCATGATATTTGTACTCCTCCCACCATCCTTCTACAATTTCATATTTTTCTGCTAACACTCCCCTCCACTTAGCATTCTTCTTAAATTCAAACGACCAAATCCGCTTCCCTAATAGAGCTTTCTTGAAAATCCTAAGATCTTTCTCTCCAAGTCCTCCCCATTTCTTTGGAGACATGACTTCTTTCAAATTTACTAAATGAAACTTGTTTGTTCCATCTGTTGCATCCCATAAGAAGTTCCATTGAAGTCCTGTCGACCTATTGGTTACGATAACGGGGCCTGGAGAAGCGACAAACAGAGCAAGATCCTTTAGACAAAATACTTTCTTCCCTCCTTTCGAAAATTACCTCTTTTGTCATCCTGCTAGCTTCTTCTCAACTCTTTTAATCATCGACTTCCACACAGCAAGATCCTTGTTTGAGGTACCAAAGGTAGATCCATACAGATAGTAGGTAATGCACCTAGCTTACATTTCAGCACCTACGCAAGCTCGTTAATGGCATTCACCCGCCAATTGATATGATCTCACATTTTCTAAGGTTGATTTGAGGTTTGGAATAGATGAGGACCTCTTCAAGTATGACAGTTGGGAGCCATTTACATCACTGAATACCACTCACCTACAAATAAAAGATGCGCGACTATGACGTTGCTATGCCCCATAAACGAGACAGAGAAACCCCATAAGAGACCTCTTGCAACAACATTGTTCATCTTGCTCAATGTCGCCATCACCAAAATAAATAGCATGGGAGATAACAGATCACCTTGGCTCAAGCCCCTCGAGCTACCAAAAAATACGCAGACTCTTATTCACCAAAATAGAGAATCTAGCAATAGATATGCAAAATTTGATTATCTCCTCCACTTATTCCCAACACCCATCTTGAACACAGTGAAATCCAAAAATTCCAAATTCACAAAGTAATAAGCTTTTCCAAGATCCAAGTACATAAAATCCCTGATTCTCCGTTCTTCTTTCTAGAGTCAACTACCTCATTTGACACAGAGTCAAATTCTCTGGAGAGGTTAATTTTTCTTATTTTGCTCTCTCTTCTTCTTCTTCTCCATCTTCCATCTGCTTCTGCTACATTCTCTTCTTTGATTTGTTTTCTTATTCTTCTCTCTAAAAATTTTGTCCTCTTGAAATTTTGCTCTCTTAATGAGTTCTAGTTCTCTACTTTTCTTCTTATTATTCAATCAGACATGCAGTTAGCTACCCTCAATTTTTTCTCTAGTTGTTCTTCAATATTGGAACTAAAATTACATGTAAATTAAACGTTGAGCTGAAATTACTTTCGGGACTAATTTCACTTTCTCTTCTTATTATTCGGTACATGCATGCTTATACATATATATAATAATGGTGGTGTTCGGGCACTTGCCCCACCTTGACTACTCTATAGAACACCTGCTATCTCACACTAGCATAGGTACAGGGTAACTCTTGCTTACCAAAGGTTCGATAGATGTAAAGAAATCATCTTATGTTTTTTGTCACTGTTGAGGTTTGAATCTCCAAGGTTTACATCCACTTCATTAACAACTAGGCCACACCTTTGGATGCATTGGCTGAAAATATAATTGGATAATCTTATTGGAATTCTAATTTGTAAAGGTCTAAATTCATGTATGTTAGGGAATTTTAATCCTATTATTTTAAAGTTGCGCATCGCTTCTTCTTTCTAGCTTAAAACACTAGGAAAAGACTGCATATTGGGATACAATATTATGCAATTCTTCATAATTGGAATATCATCTACACAATGTAATGAGCATCTCAGTGTCATCTCGCATATTTTCTTGCTAGGGAGATTTGGTGGGAGATCATTTACCATGTTATTGAATCAAAAATCACTCCTCCTGGAATGAGTTTTGAGTTTGTTAGTGCCAAGATTTGGGGCTCTAGTAGAGCACTGCGATATTTGCAGTTGTGAATTGCACAAGGCCTGAATCCAAAGAATTCTCCAAGCAATTGAGTATGCCCCCGGTCACCATGTGAGACAGAGTAACAAATTGTCTCTTCTTGCAGGTGCAAGATAGCAGGATTTTCTTTCTCGAGCGCCTTAACTATTCTTCAAAGAGACTGGAAAAACTTTCTTTCAGCATAGCTCTATGTCACATTATCCCTATTTCTTGTCCTTCTATATTATCACTAGTGAAATCTTTTCATTCCTCCAAAAAGAAATTTCCTTACAAGAAAGGGGAAAAAGAAAGAGGAAACCCAGACAGCAGGAAGAGATCTTAACTTGCTTTTCTTTCTACCACAATATATATTTTTGGGAACTCAATGTTTCAATGACTCAATTTGGATGGAACCACATTTTCACCGAAATTCAATGACTCAATTTGAAAAACAAACCTGGATTTCAAGTACAGCTTCACCAGTTCGTGTTGGCTGTCCCCCAGCTTCAGGGACCAAATTTTTTGCCTTGTGACACTACAAATAAATAGTAAAACCATAGCTAAGTGAGACAAGTTGGATGTCTCTTTCTCGCAAAAATTTGGACTATGACAAAGATCCATACATGGATACAATTTTTGCTGCAAACCATATTGAAATTAGTCCAAAATTATACCTCATCAAATATGACGAGACCGTCAAATTCTGGCCCACACCATTGTACAAGCTGCTGCAAACGGGTCCGACCTTTCTCTGAAGATGCTATGAGACTGCTGTATGTTGAAAAAACAACCCCCTCCCTGATGCCAACAGACTTTGAGTCAAGCTTAGAATAAGGTAGCTTGTTCAAAGCATGCACTACAAGAGAAAGTTATAGATATTTAAGTTACAAAATCCATTCAGTCATTAACCATTTGGAATCGGAAACGGCCAAAGGAAAGAATGCATAAGGAACCATACATTGTTTCACCATATCATACGTTACAGTTGATAAATCAGAAAAATCGTAGGTAGATCCACAAACAAAAGCAACTCATTGTATGTGATAGGTACAAATCCACCTCAGAAAACAGTAGAATGTGGTCCATATGCATCGTCAATTGACCCAAAATAGCTATGTTTTAGCCCTTACTACAAATAGCCCAAGAATAAGATCAAAAGATACATCTTTGTCAACATTTCCTTTTCTTAGATTTCTAATAGAGTAGTTCACACCTCATTCCGGCTGCCTCAATCCAGGTTTCCAGAGTTATCAGTTAATTTTGCAGTCCCCAAAAACAAAAATAAAGAAAGAAAGGTGCTTTTAAGTTTATACTCCTTTGAGTTGGAGACTTTTAAAAGTACATAAAAGCATCTCTTTAAAGGTAAGCATCAAAGAACACTTTGAGACGTCCATTATCAGTAAACTACACATTAGCACATATTGACATAAACAAACAGAGAAGGAACGAGCTAGATCACATGCAGCATTTAACCTGAGACCATATTTAGGACTCTCAAATAACTACCTGCTACACACATAGCACCCACATCATCCATGTCTCTTCTTGCATCAAATTTCAGATCTGAACCAACAGAGATCCACCTAGGGAAAAGCATTATGAAAAATGGAAACTATTACATTTAATTTTAGAAACTAAAATGCATATGATCATAAACTAAGAAAAACAGATCCTTTAGAAGTATATGGAGCACAGCCATCATTTTAGCGACAAGGAGACGACCATTTAATGAATGTAACAATAACAACAATAACAAACCCAGTGTAATTCCACAAGTCGGGTATGGGGAGGGTAGTATGTACGCAACCTCCTTGCCATACAAAGGTAGAGAGTTTGTTTCCGATAGACCCTCGGCTCAAGCAAAGCACAGTCAAAGCAGTTTTAAAAAGAAATATAGTAGTGGAAAGCCATGAAAGAGAAGCAGTATCAACAGCAAGATAAGAAGATAACAGATGCACAAGAAACAACATGTAGTAATAGAAATCTAAGGGTAAAAAAATACGAGAATAATACTAAAGCTACTGGTATGGCAAAGAGAAATGCTCGACTACCTACTAGTCTTCTACCCTAATTCTCGCCCTCCACACCTTTCTATCAAGGGTCATGTCCTCGCTAAGCTGGAGTTGTGTCACGTCCTGCCTAACCACCTCTCCCACTTTTTAGGCCTACCTCTATCTTCTCGAACCCAACAAGGCCAACCTCCCATACCTCTTTACGATAAAAAATAAATAAAAGCATTTTAACAAAACAGAAAAAAATTATTTGTTACAAATAGTTAAGGTGTAGTCCGCTTTCGGGTCAATATAGTTGAAAGCACCGAACGAAATTTGCACGCGAAAAATCTATAGTAGCAAAATCAATTCAGACAACAGCTTTTTTGTCAATAGACAGTGCATAAAACAAATATTGAATATTTGGTACCTCCATCATATGCCATCTTTTTAGGTCCCACCACTAGTTGAGTGTGCATTTGTTTTTTCGAGAAATACTAGTTGAGTGTGCATTGAAAATGCTTTTGGTACACTCGTTGAAAGAACGGTAGAACATTAAAACAATCAGTATATTTAAATTTTAAATCAAATTTGTTAGATAATTTATGTATTTATTAGTATGTTTAGTCCCACATTGGAATAGAAGTAGTATGTATTTCTAGAGTGTAAATATAAAGAGGCTCCTTGTATTATAATAAATGAAGATCAAAAATATATTTTTTCTCTCGTGCTTCCTCACATGGTATCAGAGCGGAAGTGAGAAAATTATCGATGTGCGTCATTCCAGTGACATCGGAAAGAAAGACATGTCGCCGTGCAATTTTTCCGGCAATTTAAGGCTGTCCAATTAAGAAAAATCATTATTTGTCAGTGTTGTGCAAATACCAACACCACCACGAGGTAGATAAGCCTCCAGCGACCAACCAATAAAAATATCTCCAGCAGAAACCTCCTCACGCGCCCACACGCGCACCTGAAGAAAATTCTCCGACGAGATTCTTTCACGTGACGGTGCGTGAGACACCTATCGGCCATTTTTCGGCGACGACTCTTCAGGAAAGTTGGCTCGCAAGACAATTCCGAGCTTACCCATCCAGGTTACAACAAATTCCGATGACCTTTTTATTTTCCGGCAACTATCTCCATTTTCCGACACGTGAGCCACTTTCCGGCCAGATTCCGACAAGATTCCTTGAAGACAACTTGCTCGTGAGGTGATTCTGAGCCAACCCACCAGATCCCATCACATTCCGATGAACTTTTCAAATCCCGATGATATTTTTCCTCAAATTCCGGCGAGAGCAGTGGTTTTTGGCGAAACAATGGTCTAGTCACTTTTGACCAACATACTACTAGTTTAGTGACTGGAACAGTATCTGTGATCATTATAACATTTGGTTACGCTTCTAATTGCCTATTTTGAGGTTATCTCAGCATTGTTGATATTCTTCATCAGATATTTGGTTGTTTGATTGACCTCTCTTAAATCCATTATAATGTCACTCAGATTGGATGCTCTTGGCTCAAATCCCGTTGGGTCCTATACTTCAAATATACAGATGATTTCTTTACCAAATTATATTGAGTTCCTTCAGTACAAAGTACGTAAGCAGACATCTTCTGAGATAGCTTCTATTGTTCAAATAGGTAGCGTGACTTGTGTCTCTCAATCTTCTTCTTCTGACTCTTGGGCCATTAATTCAGATGCATCTGATCACATTTCTAGTAACAAATCTCTTTTCACTACTATTTCATATTCTCAATCTCTTCCAACAGTCACAATGGCCAACGGGTCTCAAACCATGGCAACTGGAATAGGTCAAGCAAGTCCACTTCCTTCCTTACCTTTGGATTCAGTTCTTTATGTTCCGAAAGTACTTTTAACCACATAGCCCTTAGTCACTTAGCCAAATCACTTAAATGCGCTGTTTTATTTCTTGATGACCTTGTTTTATACAGGAACGCAGTATGGGGGGCAAATCATTGGTACAGGGGCGTGAACCAAATGGAATTTATTACGTTATCATAGCTAAATCATATGGACCCACATTTTGTCTTCCTTCAACAACTTGTTCTGTTACTGATTCAGCAGATTTATTACATTAACGGTTGGAACATCCCAGTTTATCAAAACTTCAAAAAATGGTACCTGGTTTATCTTACTTGTCCACTCTAGAGTGTGAGTCATGTCAACTCCGTAAGCATACTCGCTCCCATTTCCCCTGGCGTCCTGATAATCGCGCAGATACTTTAGACCACTCAAATGTTTGGGGTCCTAGTCGGGTATGTTATACCTTGGGATTCTGCTACTTTGTCAGTTTCATTAATGATTATTCAGGGTGCAGTTGGATATTCTTGATGAAAAATCGATCTAAGTTGTTTTCTGTTTTCCAGACCTTCCACGTTGAAATTCAAAATGAATTTGGGGTTCTATCCGCACATTTCGTAGTGATAATGCACTAGAGTATTTGTCTTCCCCATTTCAGCCGTTTATGAACTCTCATGGGATCATTTATCAAACATCTTGCCCATACACATCTCAATAAAATGGGGTAGCCCTTTGGAAAAAATGCTCTCTATTGGGAAATGTGCCAAATCTTCTCCTCTCTCATCTCCGATCTCCCAGGTCCCCAACTTTCCCGATGAAGCTCTCTTCTCAGCTTAGTGATAGATTGGAGAATATTTTTTATCTCAGAGGACAAGTCCTTCGAGTTAAGAGATATTAGCGAGGATTATGATAAATGGTTTATTTTCTATGAACGCAGCAGAAGATTTACAAGCAGCATCAAAATCGATGAAAGTAACTTGCGATGGGTTTGCAAAGCTTTGAAAGAAGCAACGCTTAGCACTGGGAATAGATGCAGAAGATGGTGCAGAAGGATACAAGTCTACATTCAAAGTAATTCAAAATTTCAACATCTACGAGAGGTTCTTGCGAATCGAAACCATTCTAGGGGGAAGAAAATCTGCAATAATAATCCCTAAAAATGACTACAACAGGGGATGGGGGGACATTGCAGATAAAATTTTAAGATCTCTGGGGAAGGCTTCAAATCCAAGGTTCCAGCTTGCGACAGATCAGTCCAGGCCATACATGGAAGCTGCGAAGATCACGCAATGGCCAACCACCCAGGAAACAAAAGGTCCAGCAGATGGGGTGTCTGAGAATGAACAGTTTCTCTCGAAATGTCTTGTCGGATGTTTCAATGATGCCTTCGGTAAGAGTCCAAACCCAGTAGTGATCCAAGAATGGTTTGTGAAGAGATGGAAGGTTACTGCTGGCCTTAAAATCACCTTTAATGAATCACAATCAGTTCATGTTCGACTTTCCATCAAGACAAAAAGCTATCAGAATCAAGGCAGGAGAATGGTTCTGGAATGGCAGAAGATTATCCTTGGACTGGTGGTCCCCGATGACCGGCGTGCAGCCGGAGAATACAGTTTAAGAACATAGATGGATCAAGGCCTTTGGTATTCCTCTACATGCATGGTCGGAAAGTACTTTTAAGACCATCGGAGGAAAATGTGGTGGATTTGTGGGCATAGACGAGGATACAAAGCACAAAGTTCATCTTTTTTGGGCTCGTATTTGCGTGAGGAATCAGGATAAACTTCCGGCGAAGGTAGATCTATCTTTGGGAGATTGGAACTTTGAAGTTTTAATTCTAGATGATATTCACGTCAAGCCTAGTCCAACCGGAAAAAGTGACTCCGGCGAGTTGTTGGGAAAAGGATATGACGGAGCAGGTACATCGAGCCACGCTCCTACCAACCCTAGTACGCACGTGGGCATGCAGCAAAACAGCTTTACTTCAAAAATTAAAGCACCTGTTAAACCCTTGGTTATTACACGCAAGGCAAATCTTAAATCTGGCCCACAAATTTTGGGCCAAAACTTGGGCCAAAATATGGACAGGAGTTATTATAAGACAGGCCCAAAGAGGAAAACCCTAGTGAAGGAGGCCAAGCTTTTAAAGGAGAAGCAGATCTGGCGGGTAGTTGGGCTGAAACCCAGCCCAATCACTAATAATTTTGATAAATTACCGGTTGAGCCCTGCACTAACTCAATCGATATTTTACAAATTCCAAAACCTAATCACCTCTGGTTGCTTTCCCAGAACAAGGCACAGGGACCTGCTCTACAGATGTTGATGACGAAGAAGATCCAAAAGAAATTTCTCCTCAATTGCATCGTCAGCCATCGCCACACAAGGAGCTAGCTTTGATGAGTTACTCAAATTCAGATTTTTCCTCTCAATCAATTTCTACAGCTCTTCCATTAACATGGTATGAAAGAGAAACGAGCATGCAGAGGATAGACAGACCAACAGTGGTTGAAACTTCGAAATGGACTAAGATTACAATGGGTAAGGCATGCAAAGAATTTGGGATCAATGCACAGGGGTTCGAGCATAAATTGTTGGGCCTAATTCTAAGGATGGAACAGATAAGGCAATCTCAGCTACAACAACAAAAGTCACCATCCAAGTTGGGGAAGGAGGGTAAATGCAAAGGGGAAGGGGAAAGAATGAGACTAATATGTGGGTTGAATTACGATCGAAAGAAACAACAGTTAAAAGGGGTTAAGGGCA